AGAGGCCCGTGCACGTGGACGCTGCCATGGACGCCACGCCGGCTGCTGAGGGGGCTGCGCTGCACGCCACCCCGAGCAGACCGTTGCAGGGCGATGGGACTGCTTCGCGGGATGGCCAGAGAGCGTTGGATGGCGGCAATAAAATTCTCGATCGTCTGCTTGACTACGCTTGCGCGCTGCGGCGTATCGAGGGTGCCCGTGATCGCTGGCATCAGGCATACGCGCGCTCGGTCGGCACGCAGTCGATGGATGGCCTCGTGGGTGTTGTGGACGAGTCGCGTCGACTCGCTACTTCACCTGCACTGACTGTCCTGGCGGGGGTCTCGGAGTCTTCACCGCTTCCTGAAGGCGTGGGAACTGCGGTGAATACAGATGTTGACGTGGGCGAGAACGCTGCTGCGAAACCGCGAAATGAATGGAGTTCTGTGCGCTTGACTAGCAGCGACAGCAGCAGTGTGACCTCGCCGCGACGTCATAATTCTCTGCTCGACGCCGCAGCACCTGCAGCACCTGATAGCGTCGGCAGCAGCCAGACCGCGACGGCTCTCACCGTACGACACAAGCGAGACGCGCCGCAGCGGCCCTCTCCGCCGCTGTACGAACTCTCCTCGAACAGCGAGAGTGCGATCCACCCCGGCAATCAGTGTCTCGCCAATCAGCTGTGGGGGCGGCAGCTCAGCCTTCACGCGGCGGAGCTCCTCCGGCGGCTTCTGCGCCGTGAGCGGGACCATCGAAAGACGATTTTGCTGCGGGAGATTGAGGCCCGTTACGCGGTGCGGTTGTACGAAGCCTCCGACGCGGCGCAGCGAGGTCTGGACTTCTTTGCAAAGGCGCAGGACGACGTGAGTACGAGCCGCAGCAGCACCTTTGCACTTCCTGTGGATTCTACTCGGCGTGCCGCCACGCTGTCACCGCCGGTAGCTCCAACGCTACATCCATTGGGCGGCGCTGAAACGCCAAAGTTCGAGAAATCGACGAGCTCAAAGACGGAAGGGAGGGCGGTGCGGCGCGGAACGTCCTCAGCCTCATCGACGGAGCCGAGCAGCAGCGGCACCGGCGGCGGCAGCGTTCGGATTCCTCGGCGCGGCGAGCGATCATCGCTCAACGACGGAGTGGGAGATGCGCAGCGGGGCACTCCACACGTGACGACTCCGCAGCCTTCATCTTCACCGTCGTCATCCTGTACGGACGCGTCGTCCTCGGTGGTATTCGCACGGCCTACTCAGCCGCAATCACTTAACAAAACGAAGACGACAGCGGAGAGAAGCGACGCTCCCGTGGCAGAGGAGGCGGGTCTGGTGACGTCGGTGAAGTCGAGTGGGGATTGGGAAGAAAGCGCAGGCCAGCCGCCGTCTTCAGGCGACCGCAACGCGCCTGCGCCATCGGAGGCTGTTCATACCACGAGCACTACTCCAGCTCAAACACTGCAGCAGCCACGAGTACCTTCTGGAGCCGCGGACAGCGCAGTGACTCACTTGGGCGAGAGCGCCGAAGGCCACGACTCGAAGGATGTGCACGCTGACGGTAGCGTTGCGGGGCGGCGGGTCGAGGGTACAAGAGTGAAGTCTTTTCACGCTCTGTCAGACGGCTCATCCAGTGCCGATCGTTCTGCTCAGGCAGGGTCGTCGGCAACATCGCGAAGCGGGTCGGTCGTTCTTGGTGTACCTTCGCAGCTCCCCGCAGTGAGCGCAGAGGCGCTGCCGCACACGGCATCGTCGTCATCGGCGTCTTCCTCGCTGCCTGCCTTCTCCGTCGTGCCTGCGTCTCCGCTTTTCGGGCAGTGCAGCGAGATGGACAGCAAGGACGGAGCGGGTGATCGGACACGTGTCTCACAGCAATCAGCAGCAGCCGGAACGCACAACCAAGACATCACCGCGTCCATCACCGACATCGGCCTGCCAGCACACCGGGTCCGCGGCTCCAGCTTTTCAGATCTGTGGACGCTGGACAAGGACGAAAGCGAAGAAGACGACGAGGCGCTTGATGTGGGCCGTGTGCGCAACGATGGCACTTCATCTCTGCCACCAACTCCTTCCTTTCCGCCTCAGCCAGCGCCAGACACAGGCGTGGGCCGCGACAGCGAGAGCAGCACGACGTCGAGTGAAGCGTTCACGGTGCAGCTGAGCGGAAAGAAACTGCAAGAAGGCGATGGTGGACGTCTCGATGAACGGAGACGAAGTAGCAGCGACAAGGGCGAGGATCGCACGGCCGCACCCCTGCAAGCAGGCACGTCCGCCTGCGCTCCTCCTCGTGTCGCTCGCCCTGACTCGGTCAGAAGCACAAGCGGGCTGCCGAGCAAGCACTCGTGCAATCTCAGTGGTGCATCGGAGGTAGAGCCGCGGCCAGCCATCGTTTTTCTCCACACGGACACGGACACGGAGGCGTGGGCGCGAGTGCAGTCGGAGTGCGACGACGAACCGCAGCCCTCCCTGTCCGCGCCACAGCCGTCGGAACCGTCGCCGTCGCCGTCGCCGCTGACGCAGCGGCTGAGTGCATGGGAGACGGCGACGACTGGTGAGGCCTTGCAACCTGCCGCATCGCTGAGTCCTCCGCAGGCGCTTCCGTACGAAGATGAAGGTCACCCTCCTCCTCCACCGCCTGATCAGAACCCTCCCGCCTCCGCGGAGCCATCGAGGGCCTCCTCGTTTTACTTCTCTCTTCCAGCGCAGAGCATGCCACGCGCCTTCAGCAGCGGCGGACTGCCACATGGGCTTTCGTCTCAGGAGTTAGCTGAGTCGGCCCATGCGAAGAAGGACGCTGTGTCGCCGCTACACGAAGGTGGGAAAGCCAAGCGGCCGAAGAGCGCCACAAAGGATAAGCCGCACGCGTTGAGCAACAGCGGCAGCAACAGCAGCAACGATGACACAACCCCGTACCACCGAGAGGCGCAATTCGCCGAGGAGCCGCATCCGTTTGCGCATCGGCCGTCGTCTTTCCGTGACACACAGCGAGACGTGGATGAAGAGACATCAACCTTTTTCGATAGCGCGGAAGAAGAGGAGAGTACCACCTTCACCGGCCTGCCCTCACGGCAGCGGGATCAACGAAGGCAGCAGCAGCAGCCGGGTGTGTCGTGGACGATTCCACTAGACTGGGCAGACAGCGGACGGCGTCAAAAGGTCCACGCGGACCCCGACAACGTCACCAATCCCCGTCCCTCCCGCACCCCCGCTGCCGCGGATGCCTCGGCAACTCCGTCGCCGTCTCACCTCCCTTCACCGCACCGTAGTCATCATCACCGCACCTTGCCACGTCATCGGCTGCCACCGCATCTGCAGGCGAATCGCCCCCGCGCGCGTGTCCTCACACGTGGACTCCGCCCGGTATTCTTCAGCAGTAGCAGCGGCAGCAGCAGCGGTACTGCTGGAAACGACGACAACAATAGCAGTGATTTTCATACGGGCTCGAATGCCTTTGATGCGGCCTCGCTGCTGTCACAGGTTCCGCGACCGGCAGGCCCGTGGTACGCCGCACCCGCCCCACGGCTCAAAAGGCACCACGTCGCTCGCAGCGGCGCCACTCGTAAGGCGAGGCCGTCGCGGTCGTGGCGGCAGAAACGGCCACCGCCGCAGCAGCAGCGAGAGACAGCACGTTCGTCAGGCGATGACGACGACGACGACGACATGGTGGGGGAAGGAGGTAGGCACAGGGATGTGGAGGTCTCTCCCGTGCGGCGAACGGCGGTGCAAGGCGGGAGCGCCTCCGTCCAGACCCCAGCGGGTTACGCACAGCAGCAACAGGCGTCCGCACGCGTGCGAGGAGGGCCGTATGCCGTCCCGGCCGGGCTGGCCACCACTCCATCTCCTGCCAGGCCCTTTTCAACCCCTGCCCCGTCTGCCCTTCATCGTTCTACTACAACGGAGGCCAACGCACCTTCGCGAAGCCCGCAGCATCGACCACAGCCGGCCGGACCGACCTATGCCGAATTGCATGAACGGCGACAAGCGTATGAGGCCCAGCACCAGCAGCAGCAGCGTCGAGTGTCGCCCTCCACTGGTCACCGCGCCTCCTACGCACAGATTCAAGGCCACCCAGCAGACGTGCCTGCAGCCACCACTGAAGCAACATCGGAGGAATCGCCTCCCGCACAAGCAGGCACCGCAGCAGCAGCAGTTGGCGACACGGTGAGTAAGGCGGTGGTGTGGCGGTTGACGGGTGCGCCGCTTCCCCGCTCCGCCGCGTCGCAGAGAGTAAAAGAGGATAGCCTCGCTTCAGCCCCAACGCCGACTATGTGGCCACCACCACCAGCGCCCTCATCCGTGGCGGCCACCCCGTCCCGACCTGCTGAGGTGGAGCGTGCGCCGTCGTTGTTGCCGCTCGCGGAAAGCGCCACGGATTCTTTGTCTTCCTCGCCGCGGCACGGCGCCACCGCGACCGCTCCCCGCGGAGCCAAGTCCCGACCGCCGACGGACGTCGTAGGTGAGGACAAAGCGGAGGCGGAAGGGACGGACCTGCGTGTTGAAGAGGCCCGTCGTCGCTTAATGGACGACGTACGCACCTCCTCACCTCCCCCTCCTGTTTCTCCAGTTGTGGGAGACGAAGAAAACGTACGCCTTCAGTCAGGGGTCATCAACGCAGTGCCGCAGCCTTTCCGAGATAACGCGACGTTCAATGCAACGGAAGCGGCTTCGATGTCCACGAGCCCCGGCAGCGCTCACGCAGGCGCCACGGGTGACGAAGCAGGTAAACCGATGAACGCGCCCACACCGGCAGTGCCAATCCCCGCAGAGACAAACACTCCGTCACCAGAGACCACACCGCCTTTACCACTCCCACCACTGTCGCCAACGCAATCCCTACCTCGTCCCGCTCTGAACATACAAGAGGCGGCGGAGGGGGGAAAGGAAGGAGAAGGGCGGAGACGAAGTAAAAATTCGGAGGCACCGACAGCCGCCTCGGAGGCGATGGAGTACACGATGGGGCTGACCAACTCGATGTTGTACGGACGCGCCTCCACGGCAGCGGAGTGGTCGCGGTCGACTTCGCACTCGACGACGCCGGTGTTGCGACATCAGCAGACAACACACCAGCCCTCAGTTGCAGCAACGCGAGGGGAAACCCCCGCTGACGAAGGACGCACACGTGAACATGACGAGTCAACGAAGGAAGGCAGTGAAGAGGAGGGCACGGACGATATCCACGACACCCCTGTCCACCCCCGTGTGGAGGCTGAAAAGAAGAAAGAGGAGGAGGGCCTCGCCGATGCTCTGCAGGACACGCCTCGAGCGTCGACGCCGTTTGCGCCCACCGTGGCGCCCGGCAGCCCGGGGCCACCACCGCCGGTGAGTCGGGAAGCGAGCGGGCTCACCCACCCAGAAAAGGAGTCGACAGGAAATACTACGGCGGAAAGCCTCGCACAGCCTCGGGAAACGAAAGAAGCGGAAGACGTCGCGACCTCTCCACCTTCGCATTCCATTACCACTCCTGAAAAAGAAGCTGTAGAAGAGGACGAAAAGCGGAAGGAGCTGCACGAGGCGATGGAGCAGCCCCCTTTGGACGCCGAGACGCTATCACCGACGCCGGTCGAGGGCGTGAGCGGTACTCCCTCTTTCACCTCCCACCCAATGCTGTCGCTGCCAACCCTACACGCGTACGAGTCTGCGCTGGCCGCCACTACGACCACCATCACCGCTCCAACTGCACCAGCCGCAGAGGCGAGGATCGGCAAGGAAACAGGGAGCGCGTTGGGCGCAGAGCCGTCCGCGGCAGCAAAAGCCCCTCTCCCGTCTCCTGAAGCTCCGACGTCGCTTCCAACAGAACCAGCGAGGGCGGATGGGCCGCAACAGCCACCGTCACCACAGCAGGGAGGAGCGCACGCCGCGTTCGTAGGAGTGGACTCCACATTAGGTCCGCGGAACAAGGTGGAAGGGTCGGTTTCTGATCGTGTCACCGCGACGGGAAATACGGTGTCCACTGCGCTGCCAGGTCACGTCATCGACGACTCTCAGCAGACACCCGCATCACGTCAACAGGACGAGCGCGTAGAAGACGATCGTCGGCTTCCGTCGATGCACGTTGGGCCCACACCCTACCCTGCCGCCGCCGCTCGTGGTCAACCACCTGAGAGTCCACCGCCTTTCTGGGAAGATGTTCGAGAGCCACAGCACGGCACACCAACGGGTGAACAGTCACAAGAGCAGCAATTGTCCGCCTTAGCGCAACGCCGCGCTGAGCTGGAGCGGCGGCTGGTGGACCTCGAAGCACAGCTGCGCCATCGGCAAGAAAATGCACTGCAGTCGTCGGCGCCTGACTACTTCGAATCAGACGACGTCGCCTTCCACAGTGCTACCGGTAGGTTGGGTGTCCGCCCTGGTCGTCCGCCGTCTTTTTCGCGTGCCAACACGGCCGCCGTAAGCAGGAACAGCAGAGGTGGACGTGGAAGCGGAGTGTGGGGACGAGGCGGCAGCAGCGGAAGAGGAGGAGTTTGTGGAGGTGGCAGGAACAATAGTGCTGGTGCTACGCAGCGAGAACCCGAACAGCAGCAGCAGCAGCATCTGCATCGCAGCCCCGCCGCGTCTCCATCGCCACGCTCTGCAATTCAGTGGACACCGCGGCCACACCCCACGCGAGATCCAGCCGCAGCATCAGGAGCAGAGTCTGACTCTACCGCACACGGCCGCGTCTCGCACGCTGCCGTGGGTACGACCGGTGACGTGCGGGGAGGGCGTAGTATTGGCCAACCCCCCAGCAGCTCCCTCCCGCCTGATGCACGGACGGCACCGTCAGCACCCGCTGTAGCCGCGCCCTCGACGTCGACGATCCGTCCGCGGCTCTCTGCGTCGCCGGCGGCTGCCACTGCGGTGGTAGCGGCGGCGGTAAGAAGCGACGAGCACCCGTACTCCCGCACGGAGCACCGCGGCTACGGCTTCGCCAACGCCGGCTCCGTCGGCTCTCCCGCCGGGCCGAACTATCGCCGCACGACCACCGCCTTTTTAATCAGCGCGGACTGGCGGTATCAGCGCACGTACGTGGACACCGTGTTCTTCCCGCAAGTGGTGGAAGGAGCGCGGAGTTCACACGGTGCGTCGAAGGTGCCGCAACCAGCGGAGGATGGAGAAACACCGCAGCAGCCGCGGTCGTCATCGTCGCAGAGCGTGCCGCCAGGTGAGAGACACGGCGGCGCGGATGTGTTTGCGTGTCGGCCTTTTCGCTTCCCGTAAAGTGCGAAGAGACGCTGGATTCTGTGTTTTGTCGTGCTCGCGTCTTTGGCTTCGTGGAACTGCTGTTGTATTTGTGCGCTCTGCCATCATGGTCTCCGCTGTTCTCAATCTCCGCTGTTGGTTGGTTGGTTGAAGCTGCTGTTTCATCCTGCCAGCATCCCTTTCTTTTTTCTTTCATTTGTATGTTTCGTTCACTGTACCCTAATGAAAACGCGTTACAGTGAAAATCCAGGCAATCATCATCCATGCGATCTGCACGCATCTGTCCCCCCCCCCCTCCCCGTTTAAGCCCGAGAAAGAGACGGAAACACCTCAACGAAGGGTATTATTGTTAGTATTATTGCTATTTAAGCACTTACGGATCTCTGCTGCTGGATGCGTACCGTGTTTTGTTATTACTACTCTTCTACCCCTCGCACCTCTCCTCTCCTCTCGTCTCCCCTTCCTCTCCCTTTCTCGGATTCCTCGTTCACACGCCGCGCCAACTTCGTGTGCCACGTCGGACGTGTCCTCGCACATCAAAATATATAAATATTTAAAAGAGAGAACACACGACGACGGAGTCGCCTCAGCGCATTCTTCAAATCGTTTCCCTAAGCTTCTTACTGCTCTCTTCCTCTTCCTTCTGATTTATTTTTCTGCCGTTGCTTCTATTTAGTGCCTTCGCGTCTGCATGTGCTCGAAAAACTGTCGCTGACAGCTTCTTTTTTCTTATTTCGGTTAAGCCCGGTTTGTGTTTTTCTCTCTTCTTTGCTTTACTTCTTCAGCCTCGCCATGCCGTCCCCAGCGCAGCGCCCACAGGAGTCCGTGCCGCTGCGGACCATTAACCTCTCCGAGGTGCACGGCGACCCCTACGCGGAGGAGCTCGGCATTGGCGCCCCGATCTACGACGCCTGGGCCCTCGATGATGACGAGGCCAGCAGCAAGCATGGCACCGACACCTCGGAGCCGATTAAATTGATGGGCGACACCGAGAACTCCCCCTCGACCCGCCAGCCCAACGGCCGGCACGGCCCGCGGCACACGTTCCACACGCCGGGGGGTCGTCCCTGCAGCAACGAGTTGTGGCGCTTCCGCGCCCGCGGCTGTCAGGATTGCTGGGCGGCGCTCTTCTTCATCGCGCTCGTCACGGTGGTGCTTCTGTGGGGTGCCGCGCAGATCTGGCAGCTCGAGCTGACGGACGTCGACCTCGCCGTGATTGCGGGTCAGGCGGAGCCGGAGGGGCCGGTGCGGTACGGGCCACGCACGCTGCCGCAGGACAAGAAGCCGCCGTTGCGGCACGTGGCGGCGCTGCGGGCGGGTGTGGCGGCCCTGTGGGAGCGGCAGAACGCCCTGCTCAGCGGCAACTCCGCTCCGGCCCGCACCAGCCCCCGCCTCTCCATCGGCTCTGCGGTGGGCATGCTGGTCGTGCTGGTCTTCGCCGTCACGACGACGGTGCTGGTGGCCTATGCGGGTCTGCTCATCATCTCCCTCTACCCCAGGCAGCTCATCTTCATGCAGTCGACGGCCAGCTCCGTCTTCTTCGCCATCTCTGCGGGGGTGGCGTTGGCGCGGGGGTCGCCGCTCGGGGCGTTGCTCTTCACCATCCTCACCTTTATGCCGCTGCTGTGGATTTACTTAATTCAAGACCGCATCCCGTTTACGGCGACGATGCTCTGCGCCACCGTGGCGGTGCTGCGCCGGCACAAAAGCCTCTTTGCCATCTCCCTCTGCTCCGTCCTGGTGTGCTGGTCGATGCTGGTTGTCTTCATCCTCTGCGTGATGCCGAGCGTGCTGCGGCTTGCCTCGGGGTGGGTGATGGGGAAGGATATCATCTACCCTTTCATGGTCGTATTTGCCTTCTTCTGGGTGCAGGAGGTGGTGAACGCGGTGGTGCACGTGACGGTATGCGGGGTGGTGGCCACGTGGTACTTCGCTGGCGAGGAGCACCTGCCGCTCGCACCAGTGACGATGGCCCTGCAGCGCGCCGTCACCACCAGCTTCGGCTCCGTCTGCTTCGGCTCCCTGGTCACCGCCGTCGTCTCCTTCGTTCACTCTATCATTGACTGCGTGCGCAGCGGCAACGATCAGAACAGCTTTGTGATGTGTCTGATGGACTGTATGGTCGGCTGCATTGAAGATCTCGTGCGCTACTTCAACGAGTACGCCTTTGTGCACGTCGCCATCTACGGCTGCAGCTACGTGGACGCCGCCAAGGAGACGTGGGGACTGGTGAAGCAGTGCGTCTTCTCCGCCGTCTTCAACGATTGCCTGGCGAGTCAGGTGGTGGCCATCATGACCCTCATGAGTGCGGTGCTTGTCGCGGTCTTCACCGGCATCGTCACGTGGAGTGCACCGGCCGTCACCGTCATGTTTGTGATGGCGTGGGTGGTGTGCAGCATCTTCTACAGCCCGATCGCGTCGTGTGTGACGACGATCTTTGTGTGCTTTGCGGAGGTGCCGGTGGGTCTGCAGTTGTCGTTCCCACAGCTGTACGACGCGTTGGTGGACGCGGACGCCGGGTACACGGCGCGGAGGGAGGACGCCTCCAACTCCTACGGCACGTACGTTGTTTAAACTGTTCCTTTCATGTTTCTTCTGTTTCCTTCTGTTTTCTTCTCTCTTCCCATATGCGATACATGGAGCCAAGAAAAAAAGAGTGCGGATGTGATGGAGGACGTTGGAAAGCGTTCTCGGAAAACTTTCATCTCTCCTCACGCATAAATCGTTTCTGCCCCTAATTTTTTTCCTTTTTTCCCTTTCCGATGTTTCCCTCAAAGACTTCATTGCCGGTTCAATGCGCGTGAACAGATTTTTCTGAACGTGTGCTTGTGTGTGTGTGTGTATGTGTGTGTGGCCGGTGCCGCTGCGCATTCCTTTCAGCTCGTCGCGTCGCAGTATGTCTTCTGGCTTTTGCGAAGACAACTTTGGTTTTTTGATTGTTTGCTCTTTGTTATTTGATTATTTGTTTTGCATGGCAGACATCGACCTCCACCTTAACCGGTGCTCCGATATCGTGTGTGTGAGTGTTGTGTGTGGTAGGCACGTGCGATCGTCCGCTTTTGTTGGATACGTGGAAAAAGGTATTCTCTCTTCTGCGAACTTCTTTGTCCGCGGACATGTGGGCGAGGAAACGAATGCCTATTGTCTACGCTTTCGTTATTTATTTCGTTCTTTCTTTTTTAAGCCTTCAACGTCAAGACATTACAGTGGATTGTGGTTTTTGCCGCCTGTGTAGTACACTTCTATCGACCATGTTTTAATTCGACACAGTCACCGTAGCAGGAAAGTGTAGGTCTACACATATCTACCTCCCACTATATATGTATATATATATATGCCTCCATGGATTGAATTGAGGACGGCATCGGTCCTTCTCGGCTTTTATTCTAGTTCTTTTCTCTTGTTTAGTTAGTTGGTTTTGCATATAAATATATATATATACAGTATTCAAAGGAGGGGAATCGTTGACGATCTAACGGGGCCCTCGCCATGTTTTTTTTTGTTTTGCGTGTTCTGCAAAACACTAATTTAAGTTTCTAATATCTCTTTTGATGTTTTTCCCATTTGTACTTCATCACTTTACATCGTTAAAAGTAGTACGTGGTGGACGCCCAATGCGTTTCAATTGTTTCTGGAGCTTATTTCTCTGCCGCCGGCATCGTGGGTGGAGCAGAAGGAGTGCCTTATGACCGCCTCCGCTTTGGGTTGCGCGCAGCGCGGCTTTTCATGAACACCTCGTTTCTTCTGTTACGGCTACTGCTTTCGTGTTGATCACACCCCGTCCTTCTCTCATTCACTGTCTCCCTCCGTATGTGTGTGTCCTCCACCCGCTCCTCTTCACTTGTCGACACTTCGACCGTTATTACTGGTGGTGTTGTCTTTCATCTTTGTTTTTGTTTTCATTCATTCGCATGTCCATCGCAACTACTATTGCTATTGTTAATGGTTATAATAATGTTTAAATAATCCTAAAAGGTTGATATTCAAAACAACGATATCCGTCTCCGGTGTTTGGACCTTCTTTCTCCTCCTTTCTGGGATAACGTGTTGCCAACCACAACCTTCCCTCGCGCCCATATATATCTACGCAATCGCCCCGACACCGCAGCGGTTCTTCCTTTTCTTCTCCGCGTACCACAATCCGCCATTGTAAATACGAAAGCAATGGGTCTCTTTGGCAAAGATCGCGCCGGCACCTTCAAGGCCACCGACGGCTCGGGCCGCCGCTTCACCTGGACCGTCAAGAAGTTCTCTGACTACGAGCCCGGCATGACACTCGACAGCGACAACGTCACGTGCTTCTCCAAGACGAAGTTCCACCTGCACATGTCCCTCGGCAGCAGCGGCGACGTCGGCGTGTACATCCACTACAAGAAGCCTCCGATTCCCAAGTACTCCTACTACTTCGAGAACTCCAAGAAGCAGGTGCTGCGCCAGCACACCGCCCACACCATCCCCACCGACTCAGAGCGGTGCGGGCACTGGAACGTGTGCAATCACAACGACATGAAGGACTTCCTGGGTGAGGAGGACACCCTCTACGTGCACTTCGCCTTCGATGACGACAACATCGTGGTGAAGCGCATGCCGGAGAAGAACACGCTGTCCGTCATGTGGACGATCCCCAACCTGAACGAGCAGAACGTGAATCCCTTCTCGTCGCAGGGCTTCTTCATCGACAGCACGCTGCTCGTCGCCCGGATAGACGTGAAGCGCAGCAACGCCGACACCATGGCGAAGTGCGACCCGGCGGACATAAACACCTACATTATCTTTCTGTTCTGCCGCAAGGGCAAGGTGCCGCCGCACAGTGTGGACCTGATTGACGCCTCCGGCAACTCCTACTTCCGCGCGGAGCGCAACGAGGACGGAACGGCGCAGACGGTGATGGTGGACAGCCAGCTCGTGCAGACGAACACGGCCAAGTCGGGCATTCTCTTTGTGAAGTTCGAGTTCTTCAGCGGGGGCAATCCACTGGAGTCGCTCGGCATGGGTGGTGGCGCCCCTGCGCCGAGTGGCGGGGAGGACCGCACGGTGGAGCTCGGTTCGAAGAAGGAGGCCTACAACGTCATGGACGACTAGTAGAATAGCAGCACGAAACCGACGAAGGTAAAAGTCGGCGTCTGCAGAGGGTTTAAAGAAGGGAGGGGGGAGAAATGACGTTGTGGAGAGCATGTGTATTTTTTTGGTTTGCTTTCCTCAGGACACGCCACACGTGAGAAGGAAAGGAAGATAATAAAAAATGTAAAGCGTCCAAACGTGCACTCCGGTCGCGGCAAATACCTTGATGTGTGTGTGTGTGATTTTTTTTTCTGCGGAAATACGCAGCATTTCTTTCTTTTCTTTCGGTGTAAGAAGCGCAGTAGTTATCTTTTTTTTTACTTCACTAGTTCATTTATATATGATTATCTATGCTTTTCTTTTTTCTCTCGTGGGCTGCTTCTCATGCATCAGCGGGTGTTTGTTGGCGTTGTTTATCTTCCTTTCCTTTTATGCATTTCCTCGCTCGGAACGTTTTTGGGGGAGATAAGTCCGGTATTGGGTGTATCTTTGTGTGTGTGTAGAGGTGTGTGTGTGTGAAATGGCGAAGCAACATGTGCGCTTTGATCATCTTCACCGTCCCGGGAAGCACCGCAGCCGTACCGTTGCGTTGACGTGTTCCGTCAATGCATTTTGTCCGGCACTGCGCATTCTTCCTCCTCCTCCTTTTTTTCTTTCTTCTGCGTTCACCCTCTTATCGGGCAACAGCGATACTTTTATACTTTGTGTATCTTCTTTTCCGGTGTCGAGTGCGCGGTCGTAAAACTCAATCACTGTGTGTGTGTGGATGTATGTGGATGTGCTGTACGACCCTTAGCTTTACACCTTTTTGCTTTCAATAGTATCATCACCATCGTTGACGAGAAAGCGGTGAAGAACAAAGAAAGATTGGGGAAGAGAACCCCCCTCCCTACCCCCCCCCCCCCGTCCTTGTGGAACCGTTCGTCGATGCACACCGCCGCCTCAAATCTTCTTTAAGTATCACGTCATACGTTTTATCTCGGCTTTTCTCTTTCTCTGTTTTGTACTCCTCCGCTTCCTACGTTAATCCTCCCTATTTCGGTGGTTTATCTTTGTGTTTCCTGTACATCATTATGATTCCTTTCTTCTTTCTTTTTAATATGGATGATTAGAGAAGTGCGGTGTGTGTTCTTCGACCCCGGCAGATGTCAAAGCGGGAGAGATACGAACGCAATACGAGAAAATAAGTAGAAGCTTCCTGAAGCGGGACGGGGTCGTATATATATATATATATATACATTCGCTCCTCGTCACGTGTGCGTTCTTTATCGTTTTCTGTGGTGTATTTGTGCTTTGCTTTTTCCCAGTAGAAATCATAACAAAGAGTGAAAGAGAAATGGAAGAGAGGACGTCGGGGGCGGATTGGGTCGTCGGCATGCACGGCATCTCTTTTTTGCCCGCCTCCCCCCCCCCCCCCCCCCCACTGGCGTGTCGTGGCAGATGTTGGAAGGGATAACGGAAACGGAGTGCGTGGGCATCGGTGGTCTGCGGGTGCGGTTGAAAAGAACTGTAGGTTATACAATGGCCGTTATAATGTGACTCTTTTGGGGGAGAAAAGAGAGTACGTTTTCTCCTCCTCGACGATTTCCCCGGCTGTACTCTCTCCCACTCGTTGCTCGGGGGGTATCTCTTGCGTGTGTGTGAAACCGCCCATTAAACACGCAGAGCCAACATCAGCATCAGCATCATCACCACCGTAAGACGGTCGCGACCGCCCCCTCTCTGCGAGGCTGGTTTGCGGCGCACTGCAACTTCTGCACACGTAATCACAACAACAGAATATTTTTGTTTATATATTTATATTTATTTTTATGTGAGCACCGCATGTCCTCCGCCGACGAGTCAGAGAGCGCACCCGACGCGGCGGCCATTGCAGCCCTCGAGCTGCTGGAGACGGCCCGAGCACGTCTGCACGACGCTCTCCGCGAGGCCGCTTTCGACCTCGTCGCGGCCCAGCGGGAAGAGGAGTCGACACGCGGATGCCTTGTCTCCCTCGACGCCGTCCCTACACAAGGGAATACGTTGACTCCGCTGCTTACCGTCGCACAGGAAGTAGAGGAAGGTAATGAGGAGCCGCCGGTGGGGCAGGCACGCTCGAGTACGTGGGTGCTGACAGAGGGAAAAGGCGAGCGCATCTCTGCGTTGCCGGCACGGCGGGCGGCTCCTAAAGCCTCCTCCGAGGCAGCAAGGAAGGAAACGAAGGATGACGTATTGACCTTGGTGGATCCGATTTATTACTTTAGCGCAAACCCGTCCTCTGCTCTGCGGGACGGTCAAGCAGCGTATCGACGGGCGGTGCAGTGCGTGGTGGAGGTGGCAAACGCGCAGCAGCGTGCGTTGGCGGCCGCTGAGGCGTATGCGTGTGCCGAGAAGGCAGCATCGTAAGTTGCCATCTGTGGACGACAACTAAAGCAAAAGAAAGGAATGGAAGAATGACTACCGGCATCAACGACGAAGGAAGCGCGAGGAGCACATCGCCGTGTTTTTCACCGCGTTGTGGCGTCTCCCTGCGAAGTCGGTTTTATATGTCGATTCTCATGCGTTTGCCTTAAAAGGAAACGAGAAAGACGTAGAAGAGAAAAACGGTACTTCTCTCGCTCCACCTCAAGCGAGAAGCCGGAACGAGAGCCCTCAAGAGGGGAGGGGGAGGGGAGTCATTCTCTCCCGCTCCCTTCCTGTTATCACGTCAGAAAGCAAACAAAAAACAAGCTTCGCTGATAGCGTGTGTGTGTACTAGAATATCTTCTCCTTCGCCAGTGTTCCTTTTCCATTCTACCTCTTTTCTCCCCTTCCTTGTTTTACTATTATTATTATTGAATGTCTCACGTCTTCTGCCTGTCCTCCTCCTCTACGGCAGTTCCAACGAGGGAGCCGCCTCGCTTTCTTTTCCTTTTCCACCAGCAGTCTCACCTCGACGTCGCTCTTCGTGGCACCGCTCTGTCACCGACGTGCGTGCAGCTCGCGTTTCTGCCTCTGGGCCATTCTATTTGGCCCACCACACATACAACCTTTGTTGTGAAGGTTGCTTTTCTTCAAGTCGCGCCGTTCCCGTAACACGTCGCAATGGGGCGTTCCGGCGGATTCTTCAAGAAGCTGAAGGCGAAGCAGAAGAAGGCGGCATCGCGCCAGCAGCGCGGCACCAAAGGCGCCTCCAAAGAAGACCGTCGCCGCAAGCACAACGAACGTGTTGAGGTGTACGCCGCGAAGCGAGAGGCCGAGCAGCTGGCCGTCGTGAGCAGCTCCAGTGACGAGGCCTCTTCGACGGACTCGGAAACGGAAGCCTGGCGAGAGACGCGCTCCATGCGCAAACTACGTGCGATGCTCGGTGCTGGTCCAACCTCCGCTAATAAGAAGACGTCCTTACATGCGGCAGTGGAGGCACGGAAGCGCACTCGCCGAGGCGAAGGTGGCGCGGATAGCCGCGATGATGCCTTCGATGGAGAAGCGAAGGAAGAGGAAGACGACGATGATGGTTGGAACAGCAGTGACAGCGAGGCAGCAGCAGCAGCGCAGGTCGCCACACGACGCCCGCCTCAGCGCCGCCGCCTGCGCCGTGGGCAGCGCGGTGAGCAACGCAGCGAGGGTACCACGAACGGCGACGACGGCGATGACGAGCTCGATGCCGAAGACTGGCGTCTCTACCTCGGTCAAGGCAGCAGTAGCGGTGATGACAGTCTCAGCGCAGAGGAGGGAGAGGAAGTGGGTGAAGAAGATCAGGAGCTCGGGGAGACGACGGCTGACGCCGATGACGTCGTTGACAAAGACCTTTTAATGGACATCAACGAAACGGATGACGAGGTAGACGAAGAGGGCGATGACGAGGAGGAGGGGGATGGCGACAACCCGCTGTTTCATTTGGACGATGAAGACGCCAGCAACGGTGTGCTACAGGATGGAGAGGGGGATGAGGAGGAGGACGATGGGGCGGACCTCTTCGACGATGCCATGATGTACGACGATGCCGAAGCTGAAGAAGAGGAAGAGGAAGAGGAGGAAGAGAGGGAAGACGCGCTCATTGACGAAGATGAAGAGGGCGACGAGGTGAGCAGCGACGACGACGACGCCGATAATAATGGCGGCGGCGCCACAACACCAAAGAAGGGAACAGAGCGCGGCGGCACAAAGCAGAAGTCAGCAGAGCAGCACCAACTCCTGCAAACATTTCAGTTTAACACGAGTAGCGTGTCGGTCCTGCAGCAGCACGGCAGCGTCCTTAGCGAGGCGGACGCGTGGGTCCGGAAGTACCACCTTGACCTGCACGGCGGGGTGGATGAGACGCCGCTGAAGCCGCTTCCCGTGCCGCACGCGGCGGTGGAGCTGCTCGCTGCGTCGAACGAACCACTGAAAAAGCGCGCGGCGACGCTCATGGACACGACAGAGGACAAGAAGCAGCTCGGCATTTTCTTCGTCTCGGCGGAGGAGTACAACACACTGCACCCGGAAAACGTCGCCGTGCTCGCCACCGCACACGTCCAGCAGCACCTCCTTCACGCGCCTTTTGATGTCGCGGCGGCGGCGGTGACGCAGCTCCCTGCCTACCTGCACCCCGCGCTGTGGGCCAAGTGGACGGCCTTCCGGGGGCACAAGAACCTCCCGAACTTCACCGCGGAGGAGCGGGGGCTGCTGGACCTCCTGCAGGGCTACCCCGATGTGTTCGACGCACTGCACTGCTGGCAAAACAGCGAATCCCGTCGCGAGGTGTACGCCCTGCATTTGCTGAATCACTGGTTTAAGGCGCGATCAGTGGTTGTGGCGCACGACGCGTTGCTCGCGCAGCGGAAGCAGGCCCAGCGTGCTCGGCGACGTCAGCAGTGGGCTCGTCGTAAGCAACAGCAGCAGCCACAAAAGGCAGCAGCCGAGCCTGCTGTAGAGGATAACGACGAAGAGGAAGAGGAGGAAGAGCCGGAGCTGCGCGATCGTGGGTTCAGCAAGACGCGTCTGTGTGTCATGTGTCCCCTGCGCAACCACGCCTACAAGTTCGTGTACACGCTCGTGTCCATCCTCCAGGCCGACCCTGAAAAGTGTCCCAAGCTGGCGATGTTCGAGCAAGACTTCACCGAGATTGAGGAGACCCTCGACCCGACCTTCAAGCGCCGCCCCCGCGAGTACCAACGCGCCTTTGAAGGCAACATCGACGACTCCTTCTGCGTCGGTCTCCGCCTGGAGCCGGAGCGGGTGCACCTGTACGCCCACCCTCTCAACAGCGACTTGCTGATTTGCTCCCCGCTGGGCCTGCGTCGCCGCATCGAGAAGAACGGCGACGTCCTCGTCTCCCTCTCCTCGATTGAAGTCTGTCTGCTGACGGAGGCGCAGATGCTTTATCAGCAGAACTGGATGCACGTCGCCGCGGTGCTGGAGCTCCTGGACAAGCGGCCCACGGACACCACCCACGGACTCTCTGACCTGCGCCGCGTCTACGCCTGGGCTCTTGAGGGGAGGAGCGGGCGGCATCGCCAGACCATCGTCGCCACGGAGGTGAGTACCGCGACGATGCTGTCAACGTTCCGCACGTCATCGGTGAACAACTCAGGCAAGGTGGTGCTGCAGCGTCGCGCAGACCCCGGCGTGCTCGCGCGCGTTCTGGTCCCCGTGCGTCAGCACTTCATCCGCTTCGAGCCGACGTCGCTCTCCACCGTCGACGAAGATCGCTTCGAGTTCTTCACGAAGCAGGTTTACGAGGCGAAGATCAACGCCATGGCGGAGCGCGACGTGCGTATTATCATCTTCGTGCCCTCCTACTTTGACTTTGTGCGGGTGCGGAACTACCTGCACCGCGAGTACCGCGAGAGCTACGCCGCCCTCTCCGAGTACACGTCGCTGAAGCAGCAACGCAAGGCGCTGGGTCAGTTCTCTGACCTGGAGCGGCCCGTGTTGCTCGTGACGGAGCGCTTCTACTTCTTCAAGCGCTACTTTGTGAAGATGGCGGAAGCACTCGTCTTCTACGGCCCACCGATGTTTCCCGAGTACTACGCGTCGCTGACAAACCGGCTCGTCGCGACGTCGCCAAACGCCTTTACGATGACACTGTACTGCCGCTACGACACGCATGAACTGAACCGGCTGGTCGGGACCTCGCGCATGGTGCAGCTGCTCGAGCGTGAGTCCGGCGTGTTCTCCTTCGTGACTTCCTAATGAAGTGGGTGCACACGGGTGTGTGTGTGTGTGTGTGTGTGATTGCGGTGGGCGTGCGAAATCAACTGTGCCGCTGCTCGTCGTGTATTGGTAGCCACTCCGCTCTCAACACGTTAAAAGGAAAGAGGTGTTCGACGAAAACCACCTTCTCTTTCTCTCTCTTTCTGTTGTTCCTACAATAGAAATAAGGTGTGTCTTGTCGTTCGCCAAGACGCACCTCCGCCTCATCTTGGATTGCCTGCGCGGGGTATTCTCGTTTACTTTCATTCTGGCGTTTAAACTTCTACTAAGTCTTCTAAGTTAATTCGCAATAATCATAAAAACAGTAGAGATGTTTTTTATTATTTACGGCGCCGGGCTCCGTGTGAACTACAAGCACCACAGGACGCAGAACTTCCCTTTTTTGTATGAAGAAATACGCGATGGGCACGCCGCCTTGTCACGCCGTGATCGGCTTTGAAGCGGCACCAAAAAAAGACTCCTCTCCTTCTTCCGTCGCGCATATGAGGGTCACAGATCCTTCCCCAGAGGGTCAAGCGTGCGCGTACCCGCACGCACACGAGCCAACCTATTATTTTTCTTTCTCGACCTTTATATGTTTTTCTCCTTCTCTGTTTCCATCTCTCTCGCGCGCGCTCTCTTCGGTTTGCCTTGAACATCTGCGTAATGCGTTGTCCAGAATAGCGGGCACCGCCTGTCTCGCAACGTCGACCAAGCAGCTGATGCGTTTTTTGTTAGCTTCTCCAGTGACCTTCTATTTTGCACTCAAAACAGAACACATAGACGTTGGTTGACGTACTCCACAACCTGTGTTTTTTTCCTAATTCCTTGACAACAACAACTCCAGGAAAGGTGATACGGCATCGAGTGGCGCAGGCGCTGTTGTCTCCTTCTCTTCTCTTTACTGCGTGTGTGTATGCGCCTGCTGCAACGCGCGTCATTGCCAGCCGCTGCTGTTTGTGTTGCCATCCTCATAGACTCCTTCAGACAAAACCAAAAATATACGTAGAACGTGTGCGGTTGAAGGGAATAATATAGTAGTAGTAGATTTCATACTTCACTCCCGTCTTTTGTGGTTCTCCTCTTCCTCTGTCAAAAATAATAAAACAATTGCTGCTTCGTATATACACCTCTAAAGCTATTTCGCACAATGGCGAGTTCTGAATTCGAGTTTGTGCAGGGCAACGAGCGGCTAGACTGGGGAGTCCTTGTTTCGATTGATGTGGAGCGGCTGATGAAGTCGACCAGCGTGGAGACGCTGCAGCGCATCATCGAGAACATCGCCTTCTCACGCGTCACGCGAGACGAGGCGGCCCTCTTCACCGCAGAGCACATCCTCCACCTATTTCAGCTCTGCCAGGTCGTGATTCAGTACCTCGTCTACTCCCAGGAGGTGCTGGCGAAGATGAACGTGCGGCTGAACGATCGGATGGCCGCGCAGCAGGCGGCCGTGCAAGAGCGCGAGGTGATGCTGCAGCGCCTCTCCGAGGAGAACAGTAGCTTGAAAAAGCAAGTCAAGACGCAGCGGCGGACGTTGTTGGCGTACGAGTACAACGCACAGGCGGCTTTGGCGCGTGGCGGCGGCGGCGGCGCACCGACCGCCCCGGCCTACGCCTGTCCGTACTGCGGCGAGGTGTACCAGAAGGCGGAGTCGATGCAGTCGCATCTGCGCAAGCGGCACAACACCTCTTCCTCTGCTGCTGCTGCGCCTTCCGTTCCTTCCGCCTGGAGTGACGGTGCAGGTCTGCCTGTGCCAGCAGCGGTGTCGTCCCCCTCCCCTCCGCCCCCGGCGCCCACCTCATACGCGCAGCTCCCCCAGCAGAGCTACTACCAACCACCACCGCCGCAGGTTTCGTCCGCTGAAGAACTCGCGGCCCTTCCGCAACTCCGTCATCGCGTGGAACAGCTAGAGAAGGACAAGGAGGTGATGGAGCGTCAGCAGCGTGAGAACTTAATCCTCATGATGCTGGGCGCGACGCGATCACAGCCCACGACCACCCCGCCACCTCCACCACCACCATCTCCAGCGGCAGCCCCCGCTACTGCCTCCGCGCTTCCCTCAGCGTTCGCGCCATCGCCGTCTTCTTCTCCGCTGCCCGGCCTCGCGTCCTCGTCGCCTGCCTCTCCGTCCCTCGCAGAGCAGCTGCAGGGTATTCCCGTCGTACCCGACGTCAGCGCGATGATGAACTACAACCTCTCCTGCCAGCGGGAGTCGTCCGAGAACGCGCTGCGACGGCAGCTGGTGGACCTCGAGGCGGAGATCCGGGCCCTGAGGACCAGCAACGCAGCAGCCGTCGCACCGGGGACGACGACACCAGCAGCGGCGGCAGCAGGGACCGAACCCACCGTCCCGCGTCCGCCGTGGGTGGCAGAGCTGCAGCAGGCGCAGCACCCCACCACCACCATCACGACACCTTCACTAACGCCGGTGCCGGTAGTCCCTGCGCTCTCCGTGCCTGCCAGCCCACCGCCGACGCCGCTCCCGCCGGCCCCAGCCTCCGCCGCCGTGCCACCGACGCACGCTTACGACTACACAAGTGGGATCACCGTCAACGTGCCCGCTCCTATCAGTCCCCCGCAGCTGCCTTCACCCCTGTCGGGTCTGCAAGCCCCACCGGTCATGAGCCCGCTTCCACCGCCAGCACCGTCTGTTGCAGCGGCAGAGACGCCACTCTCTGTGCCTCGATTTGATACGCAGCAGCAGCAGCAGCCACCTGCTCCGCTGTCCAGCCTCTTGCCGAGACCAGTTCCACTCCCTCGGTGTCCCAGGCAGCAACTCCCTCCCACAACAGCAGCAGCAGCAGCAGCCCGTCACGGTGGCGGTGGCCGTACCGTCTACCCCGGAGAAGAAGAAGCACGCCCACGCGACGGCGCACCACTGGGCGAGTGACAGCAGCTCCTCGCTGAGCTCCGCCTCGACAGTGCCGCCCAATCGTGTGGTGAGCCGTGGCACGGATGCTGGTCCAGGACAGGGCCTCGTGCCAGGCCTCCCTTCGCCGGTTTTCAGCGCCGGCAGCAGCAGCAGCGCCGGCATAGCGCCCCCACCGATCCCAACACCCTCTTCGTCTGCCGCCGCTGCGGCCACCACCGCGACGTATCCCGCACCACTCGTGACACCGCCCTCGACGACCCCGAGTGCCACCTCCGTCGTCGGCTCCTACTTTGCGAAGCGGTCAACCGCGACGGCACCGCCTCTTTCTCTCTCGCCTCCGCTGCCCATCCCAACGGCAGGCCCGGCGGTCAGCACGACGGCCACCACCACTGCCGCTACGACCACCATCGTTCCTCGGCCGGGCACCAGCAACAGCACCACCAGCACCGAGAGCAACAGCACAAACCCGTACATTCAACGCCACCCGCCACCGCCGGCCCTCGCGTCTGCCCCACCGCTGTTACTGTCGACGCCTGCAGCGGCCCTTTCTGTCAAGCCACCCACGACCACTTCTCTCAGCCCTGTTCCCGTTCCTCAGAGTAGTAGCAGCAGCAGTAGCGGTCGTAGTAATCTGCCGTTGAGCGCCGCGCCGACCTTCGCCTCTAACACCCTTTCTACCCCATACATTTCCCCTGCACCTGCGCTGTCCTCCGCAATTCCCGTGCCGAGCCTTGGCGGAGTTGCCGGCACGAGTCGCCCCGCCGCCCCTCTCATTCCAGTGCCCAGCAGCACGCCCTATGCCCCCGTTCCTTTCACAGCTGTACCTACGGTGGGTGGTGGTGCTGCTCCTCCTACGCCCCTGTCCGCCACGGCCAGGCCTTCTGCGAGTGCCACTGGGGGGGAGATTCGTCCCTACCGGCAAGTGGGGAGCAGCAGCAGCAGCTCCAGTAGCGCTTCTCGATTCAGTCTTGGTGGTAGTTACGAGTACTAGGGGGGAAGGGGAGGGAAGAGCGCAAGTGGAGTTGTCACTACGAGAGAAGAGTCGGGTATCCTATTTGCATCAATGGTCCAACTAGAGCGGGTGTTGTAGGGCTTCACGGCGCCTGCGTGAAGGCGTAAAAACAAGGTACTTTGTTAGAATCATAGAAGATACCTCGGCGCACTAGAGCGTTATCGTGATGTTGCGAATGGTCGCCAAATATATATATGAGCTATGAGCTATTCCCTTCTTTTAGGTGTTCGTTTTTGTATTTTTAAGAAGTGTTCAATGCGGTGTGTTCCGCATCCTCTCTGCCTCATCTTCGATCGGCTTTGTTCAGGAACGCTTGATTTCGCGCTAACACGCTTTTGTTTCCCATTTTTGAATATCTCTCTCGTTGTTGTTGTTTTTTCGAGGGAGGGTGGGAGTGGGGGATCGTTTGCTGCTACGTCACGCACGCAGTCTGTTAGAGCTTAACAAACAGAAATGGCGTTATTTCGATATCTCTGCTCATCTCCTATTCACGTGTACGTGTGTGTGTGTGTGTGTGTGTGTATCTTCTTGTCTTCGTCCTTGTCGTTCTTCTTCTCCTCATAGAGCACGTGTACGGATAGAGGTGTAGGTGTATGTTTGTGTACCGCCGCGTGGGGTGTTCCCGCACACATCGGTGTTGGTCGTCTCTCGCACTCTTTTCGTCGCCGTTTGTCGCATCCGGCCCAACGCTGTTACTTCGCCGATTTCACATCCATTGTATTCGATTGATCAAATGCCCGCATTGAAGTTGAAAAACAAACAAAAAATGGAAAGGCACTGTCCTTTTTATGTGAATTCTGTTTCTCTCATCTGCATGCCCATCATGAGTACGACGCTGCTTCGGTCGCAGTGATGTGGCTCTCCCTCGTCCGTATTATGCAGAGCACGAAAGAAGATCGATGGAAACGCGGTAGCGTGCGCTTCTGCTTTCTTCCGTCGTTACCTGCTTCGCAGTACAAACGGCTTCTTCCGCGTTCTTCCCCTCTACCCCCCTCTCTCTCCTCGGATACGTTCTTTTTCAACCTGCGCCTTCAGTGTCTCCTATTCATGTGTGTGTGTGTGTGTGTGTGGACTTGTGGGTCTTTACTGTTATTGATATTATTTGCTATTGTATCGGGGCCACCATCGCCACTCTGCAACTCGCGTAGCGCTGCACCTGCGCCGTCCTCTCTTACTTCCCTGCTCTTGGCTTGTAATTACCGCGCCGAACAGAATTCTGTCAGCTTGCCAATCAAAGACCGTTTCTTTCACGAGGAAAGAACCAAAGAATACACAGGCAGATAGATATATACATAAACAAGCAAACACCTATTTCTATATCTGTACTGCAAAAATGCGAGAACTCGCGCAGCTGCCGCGCTATCGCGACCCCATCACCCGCAGCGTCGCACGCCTCCTCCTGCGCAGTCTGCAGGAACAGCACCGCGCCCCTTCGTCCACCGTCATCGAATTTGAGGCCCGCTTTGGGCAGCAGGTGGGCCTCAGCAGCACCCACCGCCACGAATTTCCCGTCGCCGTCGCCACGACCGCAGTCATCGACTCCCTGCACAACAACCTCTACACCTTCGAATCGGGTGTAACGCGGCCCATCATGGCCGGCGTGGAGCTCGCGTTAATGAGGCACGGCATTGCCTCATCGAGCGACATTCATGACCGCGGCCCTCGCTACGCGGTTGACGGTGTAACTCTGTCGTGGGGAAGTGAGAAACGGCTGCTATGCGACACTGGAACGTTAGTGGAGATGCAGCATCGGGCAAGGAGGGCGGGCGGCAGCGGCAGCAACGCGTCGTCGTCATCGCCCGTTGAATTGCGGAATCCTTTTCTGTTTCAGTACGCCATCCTGATGCAGAGTGCGTGGGAAAAGAAGCGGATTGCACGAGCTGACGTGTGCTGCCCGGGCTGGTGCGCCGACCTCCGCTTCTCCGTCGCGGCTGAGGTGGCCATTCCCATAGATCCGTTCGAGATGGTGGCGACGCCGCCGGAACTCATGCGCTACCGTAATCGTGCCTCCCTCCCCGTATCACCGTTTTTCACCATCTACCTCACGCAGTCCCTCACGAGCTACGACCTATTGTGGCACCCCTCACACAGCCTCTCCACCTTTTGCAGACCGAGCGACGTGGCGAGGCTGGGCCGAGGGACGGTCATCCCAACCCCCGCCCCGTTCCTGACGCGGCACTCGCGGAAACGCAAGACGTACGCCCGGCAAAGCGGCCTGAGGAGTCCCGCGACGTCGCCGTCGCACGTGCACGAAATCGAAGTCGAGGTAAATGTGAAGGCGGTACTGCAGGCGTGGAAGAAGGCGTACGGTGGCGCCGCCGCGTCAGCCTACCTGTCCTCGGCGGAGTTGGTGAGCACGACCGTCGCGGGTACCTCCCACGACATCGCCCCTTCTGCACCGCTGCGCGCTGACCAGATCACGGACGCCGAGGTGCGCGCGTTTGCGCTGGCGGAGCGCGAAGATCCGTTTCTCCTGCGTGTTGCGGAGGAGTACATGGCTCTGCTGCAGTTTATCGGGCAGCTGCGCACGGTTGTGTGAGCTGCGATTGTTGTCAACGAGAAGAAAGCATATATATATATATATATTGGTGGGGGTGTGCGTGTGCGTACGTCCGTGTCATTTCCTTCTTCTTATCTGCGATGCGCTCGCCAGCGCTGCAACTTGATGCACTTTTATGAAGGGAGGGTGCGTGGACGCGCGTACCTTTGTTGTTGCTTTCATTGTTGTTTGTGTTTTTCTTATTGTTAGGTCTTGTCGTGTCGTTGTTCGTCACAGATTCACCGATGACTTCGTTGTACGTAACAGATCGTTTGAAGAAACACACGCACTGCGGTGTAGCGCTTGTTTTCAGATTTTTCTCACGCGGCGTTCGTGCTGCTATATGCACCGCCTTTTGACGATGTCGCACGCCACCGAGAGAGCTTGTGTGTTGTCATCTGAGAGAACGTGCGAAGCAGGGGCCCCGGAACGTAGAACGAATCCTTCTCCTCCTCCTTTTCTCTCTCTCTCTCGACCTGTTCTGTTTCGGTGT